AGAGGTTGTGAGGTATCAAAGTAACAAACAGAATGTTTCACCTTTGCAATCCTCATTGTCCAGAATGTCATTGCAGTCCTCATCAGTGGGAATGTCCTTGCAGTCCCCTGCAAGTGGAGCTTATTCTTAGGTCCCTGGAATCTGAGAGAATGCTGTTGCTTTAAATATCCAAAATGGTCCAAGTGCTTGTAAACATTCAAAATGGCTGCACCCTCCAGACAGCCAAAAGTCTACAGCTTAGTTTGTCTTCTTCTTTGCTGTTTCCCCTTTTATTCAACAACCTCCAGTGCAATTCTCCATGCAGCCCCTGGCTAGCAGTACCGATTTTTAGGTTAATTCTTACATCCTAATACCACTTCGTAATATCCAAATTCTCCATGCCTTCAGGATTGCTAACAATCTGCAGCTCCATATGTTTCCTTTTTCACTGTTTTCATGCAGGTTCTTCTACTAGTTGGAGTTTTGTTCACTTCTGTATCCTTCCTTTCAAAGCTCAGGGATCCAGGATTACCTTCTATGTCTGTGTTAATTGGTTCCTCTTTTCTTTATTGAAGAGGGTCTGTGTAGTTTGTCTGCTTATTCTGCCATCCTACCAGACCTCTAAATTTTCAGTTACTTTTAACAAAATAATATATTTGAATTGTCGTGTTGGTGAACAATATTGCTTGTGCCATGGACTACTAGGAGATCAAACAAATCTTTCTTGGAGGAAATAAAGCCAGAATAGTCTTTAGAAGACTATTCTAAAGATGACGGCCAAACTTCATCTCTTGTACTTTGATTATGTTGTCAGGAGGGACCAACTTCTGGAGAAGTATATTATGCTTGGTAAAGTAGAGGGTCAATGTAAAAAGGGAAGGCCCTGAACAAGATGGGTTGACCCAGTAGCTATGACAATAGGCTCAAGCATGGCCACAATTGTGAGGATGGCTCAGGACCATGCTGTATTTTATTCTGTTGTACATAGCATCACTATGACTTGGAACTGATTCAGTGGCACCTAATAACAAAACATGAACCAATGCTAATTGACAGAAGTTGTGAAATACCAAGACATAATACTGGAAGTGGTCACTTGTTTATGCCACAAAATTTTAAATACAGCTTCCTGGCCAACCAACTGGAAGACATCCATATTTGTGCCCATTCCACAGCAAGGTGATCTAACAGAATATGAAAATTATCAAACAATATCATTTATATCATATCCAAATACAATTTTGCTGAAGATAATCCAAAAATGGTTTCAGCCGTATATCAACAGGGAACTGCCAGAAACTCAAGGCAGAATCAGAAAGGACATGGAATGAAGAGTAACATTGCTTATGTCAGATGGATCTCAATTGAAAGCAGAGAATACCAGAAAGATGTTTACCTGTGTTTTATTGACCATGTGCAGTGTAGTAAATTACTTAGTGTGGCTTTTCTACCCATAAGTCTTTGTAAACTCCAAGGTGGAATTTGCTATGAGCAACTGAGGAGCTCCTGATTGCTAAAGTTGTCCACCTGGAGTATTTCTGTTGGGAGTGGCACAAAACAATGTTCTGGGAGGTTCCCACTCTCTCTCTCAGGTGCTTAGAGTTCCTATGCTATGATTGGCTAGTTTGGCCACTCTGCCAGGCTCAAAATGAGGCCTCCTAAAGGCAGAACTCTCTCTCTCTCTGCTGGTTGAGGAAGATGTGCTGTTGAAAGAGACAAGTGCTCCTGAGAGACACTTGCTGCTGGGAAAGAGACACAAGAGACAGGTATTGCTGAGTAAGACACTGAGGGACATGCCCTGCTGGGGGAGAGACTGTGAGAGACTTGACTGAGAGACTGTGGGCTGGGAGAGAGACTGAGCATTTTTCCTGAACTTGAACTGTTGCCTGGTGCTTCCCTAATAAACCCCATAATCTGTGAGTTCTCTGTGGCCACTGCAGTGAATTATCAAACCGGGCAGATATGCTTTGGGTGCTGCAGGAGGAACAGTTGGTGTAAGGGCTGGAGGGAGGCAGCATGTCTGGCCTCACAAGAATGGGCTTTGGGCTACTGATAGTGATTCTGTCTTCCTCTTGTGGGGTTAGAGGAGATCAGAACATGTGGCCTCTCTGCCTTTTTAGCACCATGCAAAAGCACTCAACTTTATGCATCATAACAAATTATAGATAACATTGCAAATAATGGAAGTTTCAGAGCACTTAATTGGGCTCATGTTGAACCTGTAAAAAGACCATGAGGCAGTTGTTGGAACTAAACAAGGGATTTAAAATCAGGAAAGGTATATGTTAGAGGTGGATCATTTCACTAAACTTACTGAATCTATATGTTTAGCAAATGATTCAAGAAGCTAGACTATATGAAAAAGAACATGACATCAAGATTGGGAGAAGACTCATTAACAAACTGTGATATAGAGATGATAAATCGTGCTTCCTGTAAGTGAAGAGACCTTGAAGCACTTACAGATAAAGATCAAATACTATGGTCTTTGGTCTTCATTAGCCTGTGGATTACAGCTCAACATAAAGAAAACAAAACTTCTCACGACTGGACTAGTAAGCAACATCATGAACATTTTAGAAAATATCAGTGTTGTCAAGGATTTAATTTTACTTGGATCTAAAATCATTGTCCATGGAAACAGCTTTCAAGAAATTAAATGACATTGTATTGGGCAAATCTGCCCTAAAAGACCTCTTTAAAGTATAAAAAAGCAAAGATGTCACATTGAGGACTAAGGTGTACTTGATCCAACTCAAGGTCTTTTCAGTTGTCTTATATGCATGTGAAAGCTGGACAGTGAATTAGGAAGACAGATGAAGATTTGAGGCATTTTATGGTTTTGGTGAAGAATGCTAACTATACTATGGACTCCCAGAAGAACACAAATTTTCTTGAAAGAAGTACAGCTAAAATGCTCCTTAGAAGCAATGATGGTGAGACTTCATCTCATGTCCTTTGAACTTGTAATCAGTGGGGACCAGACCCTGGAGAAGGAAGTCATGCTTAGTAAAGCAGAGTTGTTGTTATTAGGTGCCCTTGAGTTGGTTACAACTTGTAGCAACCCTGTGTCTCAGAACCAACTCAACAGCATCTAACAAAGTAGAGAGTCAGCAAAAAAAAAAAAAAAAAAGAAGACCCTCTGTGAAATAGATTGACTCAGTGGTTGCAACAATGGGTTCAAACAAAGCATGAATTGTGAGGAAGGCACAGGACCGGGCAGTGTTTCCTTCTGTTGTGCATAGGGTTGCTATGACTCAGAGCCAACTCCTTGGCACCCAATAACAACAACAAATGAAACACCCAGCCCTCTAGGACCTGCATCAAAAATAATTTTAATTAGGAATATTAATTTTACACAAAAAATTCTGTTAGAAACTTATAGATTTTGATAATTTAGGTTGGCCAGATTTTTCACTACAATTAATTTGCTTAAGAAAGCTTTTCCCTAGACATGTTAGAAGTACTAGACATTTCTAAGTTTTTTAAATTTTGTTGTCATTAAAAAAGAGAAATTATGTAGCTTGAAGTATAAAGGATATTTTGTAAAATTATTTACTTTTCTCAATTTTTCTTTCCTATTAAAATTTTCAATAAGTTAACATTTTCTTTATACTTATATTGTGATGCACAATTAAGTTATACATTTCATACCAAAAAGCTTATTTCCAAACATAAGTGGTGGTTCTAAGTGATTAAAGGAAGGCTAGCAATGCTACCATTTGTTTTGCCTCTTTCTTCTCACATAACATCTCTTAATAGATGTCTTACTAAAAACCTATTTCTTTTTATTCAAGCTTTAAAAATATATGGATACTTAAAAATGACTTTCTAAATTAATTAAACATATATAATAAAGTAAAAAAAATAAACATTATCTTTAAATAAAACTATTCAGCTTTACCAGGATAAAATTACTACTTTTCTCATTTAATCTTCAGAGTGTTCAAGCCAAGTCTTCTATATTGTGGGAACTGTGAGGAAGGTCTGGAGAAAGAAAAAACTCAGAAGCTTATTTTATATGAGTAATCCCACTGCAGAGTGTGGATGACATGATAAACTATCAGAGAACAAGAAACTTAAGTTCTTAAACTCTACTTATTAATGTTCCTAAACTCTAAATGGGGACATAAAGCCTTGACCTCACAGCAGGAAGTATTTTATTGCAATACCAAGTTTTACTTAAAATATGATTACAGGTTATTTAGCCTTATTTCAAACTTTGCTTTTTTCTCCTAAGAAAGTTTATACTTGTAACTATAGGAGAAAAAAACTAGGCCCTTGTTTTAACCTACTTTCTGCATTTAATTTTTTCAATTATTATAGAAACTTACACAAGAGCCCCATGTGTTATATCAGGATTTCCACTTAAATGTATTTGTGTTGTCTAAAGTCTTGTAAGCTGAACCTTATGATTCATTAATGTATATTACAGATTAAAAATAAAAGGTATATTAACAATGATACCATGTATTCTTGTCTCTGAAAGATTATGTATAAATACATGTATGTTGCTGGATGGTTTTGAAGGCATGTTGCCTGCTATAAATCCAGTTGATATTATGAGTTCCACCCACTCTGTCAGTATTTATAAATGCAGGCAACTAACATGTAAATGGGTTTTTTCATCCAGTTCGTAGCCACTGCTATTTGGTAACAGCTGTGTATATTTCTGAGGAAAGCAGAATGCTAAATAAAATGATTAGGACGAAAGAGAAGCACATCCATTTCTAAGAAGCTAACTCTAGAAAAATTGTAGTTCAGGGAGTGCAGACTATCTCTTTTGATAAGGTTTATTCTCTCCACCTTCCATCCCTTCATTCTCTCCCTGAAATTCTAAGCCATGTGGAAATGTTAGCATATTTCAGAAATTCAGGTTTCCTTGAGTCTATGGCTGAGACTCCAATTGTACTTCTATCTTTATAGATTCAGTTTAAAAGGATTATAGCTAGAACTTCATTTGCAAAAAAAAAGTCATTTGATTTATATTGTACTGTTTTTATATTTTTCGTTTTATGCAGAAATAAGAAATGGAAATTTAAAAGCCATTCTAGGACTGTTTTTCAGTTTGTCTCGCTACAAACAGCAACAGCACCATCAACAACAGTATTACCAGTCCTTGGTGGAACTTCAGCAGCGAGTCAGTCACACTTCCCCTCAGCCAGAAGCCAGTCAGTCCAAAACACAACAAGATATGCAGTCCAGGTAAGAAAGGAAAGCAGTGGACGTTATATAAAATGAATTTGGCTAGATGCAGCTTATTTTTTAACAAATTATTGTTTGCAGGTTTTAAAAATTACATTTTTATAGTTGTATCAGTGTGATGGGATTATTGGTGATGCTATAGAATTTAAGATCATTTTCCTTTTGATTGGACAAGCAATATCTAAGGTGAATATTTTTATTTTATTAAGAATGATTACTATTCTGTATCAAAGTGTGTGACATGCCTTCAGTGCAAGTAATTTGACATGGCTACTTTCTTCTACAAAGCATTTTAGTGTTTAGAATGTGGTCTTAAGTCTTAGTCTTTTGTTGTATCGTTGATTAATTAAACCACTTAAATGTATCAAAAAGTTAAAATTTGTTAAACAGCACTTTGCATGTTTGGGAATACAGAGTTTTTTATGTGAGATTGTGTGTGTGTGTGTGTGTGTGTGTATTTATATACACATATATGTATTTGACTTAAGTCATTCGGTGCATGCAGACACAGTTACCACATATGGTGGCCACTTCCTTCCATTACTACTTTTTTAACTGTTTTCCATTTTGGATTTATATTAGTTGAGGTTCAACCAGAAAAGTAGAACCAATAGGAGACCTATAATAGATTTATTACTAATAATTGGTTTACATTATTGTAGGGGCTGGCTCGGAAAAATCTAAAATCCTAAGAAAAGCCTGTGAGGAAGGGCAGGCTAGCACCCTTCGGCACAAGCTGAAACTACATTGTTGTTGTTGTAGATCCTGACTCAAGGCTACCCCACCATATAGACTAGAACTGCACTCCATAGGGTTTGCAAGACTGTGAGCTTTTGGAGGCTTGTCTTCCCACATGCCTCTGGATGGGCCCAAACTGCAAGCAGTCAAATGGTTAACTGTTTGTGCCACTGTAGGACTCAGAAATTGCAAAACACAGGAGGAATTTCTTCCTGTCTCAAGGAAGCCTTGTTCCTGCTTTTAGGCCCATCAACTGGTTGAATCAGTCCCACTCAGATAATCTAGGATAATCATTTTTACTTAAAGTTAACTGATTTTATACTTTAATCACATCTACAAAGCACTTTATCAGCAACTTCTAGATTAGTGTTTGATTGAACTGGCAACTGTGGTTTAGCCAAGTTGACAGATAAAAAAAAAAAAGACTATTGTGGAATGAAATTAAGTTAACAACTTAATTAAAAGTCAAGTTGTTATACTTGTTCATTTTTCATTACTAGAGAATTAAGAAAGTAGCTAGCTCTCTTGCATATATAGCAGTGGTTCTTTTTCTTAAGATGGAAGGATTTCCAAGATGAAAATACTCTTTATCACCTTTAAAAATATGTACACATATCAAATGTATGCATATGTTTAACTTTTTCCATCTTAGAAGCCAGACTGAAACCTGAGAATACTCAGTTTACTTTGAGTCTGTTTTTGGCAATTAGTAGTGACTCAAAAGTTAAAATAAAAATCTAAAAATATATTCACAAGCAACCCCCACTTGCTGTCAAATGCTAAGCAATTCAGTAATACCCTTCTTTTTTGTTGTCAACAAGCCCTCATGTGGAATCTCTCTTAACGCTAAACAAATATTTCTTTGTCTATATAGTCATATAAACTCTATTCCCTTTGACTAATTTTTACCCAGTAGTGAATTATTAAACCATTAAAGAAAAATCATAGTTAGAAAATAAAAATAGAATATACTATAAAGCTTATGGAGCAGTGTGTATATTTCTCATCACTCAAAAATACATATATATTGTTTAAGAGACATGTCTTTTTTTGTGGATGGCTGGTAGAAAGAAATCTCAATTTTGGAAACTAGTAGAAATAATAGCTCCTAGAGTTTGGTTTAAGCCATATGAAAGGACAAGAAGCAAGAAAAATGGATGAGAAAATAAAGGAAAGAAAATGGTTTTGTACAAAGCATGTTTATTCTAGAAGTGATATGAAATATCATTTATCTTTATTTTTTTTTTTTACCTCATTCTACTTCCGTATCACCCTTGTGGAATTTCTTGTCCAGAATTTCTCTGTAATGATAGTCTTTTGAGGGAGATGTTATTTCTTTCCCAATTCTTCTTGCTGATTAAACATAACTGTTCGTGAGTCTGTTGAATATTTTTAAACATAAGACCATATATAACAGCCAAGGTAATTTCACACTATTTTTGGAAGAGTGTCTCTTCGTGCTGAAAAGTTATGAAAAGTGTTATTTTAAACAGTGCCCTTTAAGATTGAGGTAGACTCAAATAATATATATTACTTTCAGATTAATATTTAATTTTGTAAATGTTTATGGAACATTTGCTGTACTAAATGCAGTACTCTCTACTAAGGGCATTAATAGTGACATGGGCTTTGATATAGAGGAGCTCAAAGTCTAAGGACTATGAAGAAATATGTCAGAATTCTGTGAGATTTGATAAAAAAAATATTGCTATTTTAATTGTAATATAATCTGTTGTATGTTTGAAAATAATTATATTTCAGATAATACTTATATTTGCATAGATTAGATGTATTTAATTAGTCTATGAATTAGAAATTTTTTTTGTAATCTTACATGTAACAATTGATGTATTATTTTCCAAAAGTTCCTGGTGATAATATAGATAGGAAAAGAAATATGATCTCTATATATTAGAACCAAGACAACTAATGCAGAAAAAAAGAAATACAGCAACACATTTATCTTCATTTGCTCAACGTGAGTCATAAATCATGACTTTTGAGCCTTGCTAGTTATTTTCAAATAAATAGCTTAAGTAACAGGCTGCTAGCAAGGATTGTGAGGCTGGCACAGGACTGGGCATAGTTTTTTCTTTGGTTGTACATAGGGTTGCTGTGAGTTGGAGCCAACTTGACAGCACCTAACAACAAAAAAACATATTATTATATATATTTAGCTATAAAGTGCAATTATATTTTTCTCTTTTCGCTAATAAATAGCTGAGGGCACATTCTTTCAGTTTAATAAGAATGTTTTTGTTTTGTTGTTTGCTTATGACATAAATGCATATAATTCTATAACATTCATTTTGTAGATTAAAAATTTTAAGATTTGTTTTTGCTATTTCAAAAAATAATTCTAGGTATTTTCCATCAATTTATACATCTTTCATGTAAAAAGAAATTTTGATATAAAGGCTAACAAGTTAAATATACTAAAAAGAAATTAAAACATGGCCAAGATGAATAAAGTGTGAATAAGATTAAACTCCCAGCTTCCTCTCCACCCTTGCATATATGTTTGTGGATACTTTTTGTGTGTGCAAGGAGTTCTGGTGGCATAGTGCCTAAGGTGGTTGACTGCTAACCAAAAGACTGGAGGTTCAAACCTACCAGCCCCTCTGTAGAAGGAAGACTGGGCAATCTACTTCTGTAAATATTTACTGCCTCGGAAACCCAATGAGGGTCACTATAAGTCCCAATCGACTGGATGGCAGTGAGTTTGGAGTTTTTGGGTTTTGTGTGTGCAGGCATGTGGGTGAGTGTTTCCTGTTAAAATGGTGCTTAGATAATAAGAGCACTCCTCTGTGATCAGACTGCCTGAATTTATATCCCTGTTCTACCACTTTCTAATTGTGTGACCTTGGTCATCTTACTTTCACTTCTGTCTGTTTCAGTTTCCTCATTTATTCAAAGAGAATTACAAAAAAAAAAAAAAAAAAAGTGTTTCTGATCCCAGAAGGCTGTTTTTGGATTACATGAGTCAGTACATACACTTTTAACATACCTGGCATGTATCCTTTCTCTGCTCAGAACACTGAAGTGGTCTTATGTTCCCACCATCCCCATGGCTATTTCCTCTGACTATTTTCTCTACCTGAAGTATTCTTCCTCAGAGAGCCACTTGGCTAAATCTCATCTCTTTAAGTCAACTGTTCAAATGTTACATTCGCAGTGATGCTTATTTTAATTACCCTTTAGATACTACAGCCTTCTCACTCCACTCTGCATTGTACCTGGCTGCTGCTGCTGCTGCTGCTGCTGTTGTTGTTAGGGGCCATCAAGTGTCTTCCTATTCATAGCAATTGTGTTCCCAACACAAGGAAACACTGCTCAGCTCTGCGCCAACCTCACAATCATTGCTATTTTGGAGCCCATTGTTGTAGCCACTGTGTCAATCCATCCTGTGGAGGATCTTCTTTTTGAATGACACTCTGCTTTACCTAGTATGATGTCCTTATCCAGAACTGGTCCCGCCTGGTAACAGGTTCAAAGTACGTAAAACTAAATCTCATTGTCCTTACTTCAAAGGAGCATTCTGACTGTACTTCTTTCAACATAGATTTGTTTGTTCTTTTGGCAGTATATTTAATATTCTTCACCAATGCCATAATTAAGTGCGTTAGTTCTGCTGGTCATCCTTGTCCATTGTCCAGCATCCACATGCCTATGAGGCAGTTGAAAATATGCTTCATCAGGCATACCCTGGTCATCAAAGTGGCATCTCTGTTTTTAACACTTTAAAGAGGTCTTTTGCAGATTTGCTCAATGCAGTATGTCACTTGATTTCTTAATTGTTGCCTTCATCCATGTTAATTATGGACCTAAGTAAAATGAAATTCTTGACAATGTCAGTATATTCTCTGTTTATCATGATATTGCTTATTGGTTCACTTGTGAGCATTTTTGTTTTCTTTATGTCGAAGTGTAATATATACTGAAGGCTTTGTTTTTGTTCTTCATCAGTAAGTGCTTCAAGTCCTCTTCACTTTCAGCAAACAAGGTTTTGCCATCTGTATATCACAACTGATTCCAGCTCATGGCGACCCCATGTGCAGAGAATTGCTTCACAGTGACCTTTCAGAAGCAGTTAGATGGCCTGTCTTCTGACGTGCCTCTGGGTGGCTTTGAATTGGCAACCTTCCAGTTAGTTGTTGATCACTTAAACCCAGGAATGCCTGTAACATTGATAAATACTTCTAAATTAAAAATGTATAAACCTGTTTTAGGAATTTGGAAGATTATAATCTCAATAGATGATC